TACATCAAATGATTTTTTAATTTCTAAAATCAATTCAGGCATTTGTGAGCAAACGTCGATGAAAATTCTAATTTTGACAAATGCCAAAAAGACCGTACTAATTTTTGCAAATTTTGGCAAATTTTTAAAGCTAAACCGGTTATCGTAAGGCCGTAATATTTTAGTATGATCTAGAAGACTATGGTAACTATCGTCAAAAAAATAATAATAAAAGTCGACAAAAAAAAATATTTAACACCTTATTACAAGAAAACGGCCTGGCCGAACTATACCAAAAACTAATCAGCACGATTACAAACCAATATCTTTCAAACGGTTAAAGCGAGCTAAAACGTAGACGAATTTTTTTTCACTTTTCTGCGATTTACAGAGAAAGGGTTCGGTCGATCGTAGCGCAAAACTGACAAACGATAGTCCTCATCGAGATACATCGAATGGCTTTTAAATTCTTGAAATCGGTCCATCCGTTTTTAAGAAAACATCGATTTACGGCAAAAAACCTGTTCACACACACATACACAAGCACATACTTTCTCCAAATAGTTCCATTTGATTCAGAATGGCTTGAAACGTCGAGAAAAATTAAAATTAGCAATTCGGATTTTTTGATGAAAGTTAATATTTATTTCAAACATAACTAGTGGTGCATAACATTGTGCCATAAGGCAAATTGCTGGAACTTCTCGTAACAAAATTATTATTCGAGGAGAAACACAATTATCCATCAATATTGATTAATAATTAATAACAACTGTTGTAAATATTTTCAAAGAGATAATTATAATTACTATTTATTTTATCGTTCATATAATATAGTGTGACAAACTACTCGAACAAAACACTTAAGAAGAGATGCTGAATAAAAACGTCGGAGGATATGATTCTAAGAATAACGCATATAAAATATATACATTTTCAAATTGAATTGTTTTAAAATTTATATTTAAAGTATAAAACTATATATCTTTCTGAAAATTTCAAACAAAATTTTTATCTAAAAATTTTGTAATTTTTTTATACCGTATAATTGAACTATAAAAATTTAAAATCTTGGTACGGAACACAAAAAAAAAATTGTAATAAAATTAGTACCCATTTTTAAAATCTTTATAAAATATCTATTAATTTGATGTGCATATATCCAATAAACATTTTTGACCGCCATTTTTTTTTATTTTATTCTCTGTATCTCTAAAATAGCTAAATCTGCCTTCCCAAAAATTTAATCAATTTTTCATATTTTCAATATAAGTAAAGATTTTTTTTAAATTTTGAAATAAAATAAGAACAAAAATTTTTGCTTACTCCAAAATCTAATCCTACAAGCCAAAAACTACAGACAAAATGCTCTTTTAAATCATTCAAATCGGCTGTTCCGTGCACTCGAAATCGTTGATAAAAATTGTATCTACACAAAAAACACGGACACTTACATCAATTTTTTCTGAGGTATGCTAAAAAATTCAGATACTTTTGAAACGTAAACATATGTAAAAATGTTTGTTTCCGATCGAAGTACAATTACTATAACTTACTATACGGATAGTTAAAAATTTATCTGAATAGATAATTATCAATAAGGTAAGGGGCCCAGTTTCTGACCTTTTTAGAGTGACGGTGGAGGTTAAACTATAATAATTAATATAAAACTTAACTTAATGAAGAAAATTATAATTTTATCTATTAGTTTAGGATTTTTAAAATAAAGTAATGTGCATAAAAAAATTATTTGAACTAAATTTATATTTTAAATTGACGTTTTAAAAATTGACATTAAGAGCTCCAGTTTCTGACCCTCAGAATTCTTCGTGTGGCAGTTTGTGACCCTGACCGTATCCCAATTTCTGACCCTCAAATTTAATCATGATTAGGTTATGAAGTGCTTACTAATTTTAAATAAACTGAAATTATTATTAAAATAAATAAATTAAATATTTATTCTAAAAATATACAGTTTGTTAAAATTTAACGTATAAATAGTTAAAGTCTTGTTATAACATTTGTTTGTGTAATACAAACAAAAAAATTAAAATTAATTATTTAAATTACTTGGACTTTTTTTATTTTAAGAGCTTTTTGTTTCTTTTTTTCTTCAAGTTTTTCTTTTTTAATTATTTTTTCTGCCTCCTTGATGGCTTTATTTTTGGACCTTTCAGCTTTTTTCAATTCTTTTTCTTCTTCTAATTTTCGTTTCTTTGCTTCTTTGTCGTCATGATATTTTAACCACGAATCAGATGTATAAACTGTCGGTACCTTTTCCAGGAGAAGGAACATTCGGAGATGTTGTTTTTGCACTAGGTGATGATGTTTTATTGGAGGGGTCAGGATCGTCAGATGAACTTGGGACTTTTAGAATTTCTTGTTTTTCAAGTTCATTCTCAGACAAAATCTGAACTTGCGAGCTTGCTTGTTCTTCATCCTGACTGTTATAATCAGTATCCATTCTATTATCATCGACAGAGACTAAATTTCCATCATCATCTACTACAAAAATTATAACTTCTTTAGATGGCTGTGCGTCTAAAATAAATTTATGATTATTTTCTTCTGTCTCTTCACCCTTTAACTCTTTTTCTTCCATCTAAATAAAAAAAATTGCAAAATTATGTTACAAAAATTGAATTAATTCATAGAAGTCCTCAGTAAAAATATTCTATACTATTATAAATAATAATTATAAAAGTTATTTAACAAAAAATTTCGTTAGTTAAAAAAAACGTTGATTAGCTGTAAAAATAGTGATACATATTTTGTTATAAAATTTTTCAAAAAATATTTTTATAAAATTAATTAAATTACTTGTATTTCAGAGCACTCCTAAATAAAAAAGAATAAAATTAATTGTATAATAATAAAAATATTAGTAAACTAAAACAGTCATAATTTAAGCGTTGATAAAACTGACATTTTTTTTATTAATAATTTTATCACTTAAAAGATGTATTTACAAGATTTAAATACAATCTTTCATTTATACCAATGAATATTAAATGTAAATTTATCACTTTACTACGAATAAATATTATTATTTTTACATTTAATGAACAAGTGACTAAAAACATGTGACAGATAACCTAGCTTTTAGAAAGTTAGAATTGCAGGGTCAACAACTGTGACATACACTTAAAATTGAGCCTAGTTATTGACCCTCAAATTTCAGTAATAAAACTAAATTTAATATGTTTTATAAATATTTTAAAATAAATTTTAATTAATTATTGACTTATTTGTATATTTTTAGTTTGATTTTCGTACTTACATCATAATTAGTGCACGAACTCAATTGTCGTAGCTCCTTACATAAACTGTTTAGACTAAAGCTAAAAAATGGCTTCCACAGTCACTTTTGGTTTAAAAAATTTTTTTTATTTAGTTAATATTTTTTATATTTTTTTAATTGACATTAATGAGGCATAGAATAATTTACTGTCAATTAAGAAAAAATTTATTTTCACATTAAATGTATAGTTTTTTAATTAATTCCAAAAAAGTTGAAAAGGTCAGAAACTGGGACAGGGTCAATAACTGGGTCTTTTACCTTATATAGCTTAATTCATGTAACGTGCCTAAAGAAAACATATTATTTACACATATGTATCTATAATATATTAAAATAATAAAAAATTATAATAAAAAGATATTTAAAATAATTTATGTATTAACAAACCTTGGCGCGTTGTGCATTGACTCCGTGTTAGCAGCCAAAGCTCCGCTGAGAAATGTCGGTCCTAAATTTATTGTGATGGAAGCAAACCATATCATAAACGCTCCGAATAAAACACACTGCAATTGAAAAAGCGAGTTATAGTAATCGTAAACTGTAGGGTGAGTTATAATAATCGCAAAAAATCGAGTGATATGTTGGGCATTTTTACGTTTCAAGACCTCTTTTGGCATACTCCAAAAAAATTTATGTAGTGGTGTGTGCGTTTATGTACGTACGGATACAATATTTTTTCGTTTCAAGACCTTATTTGGCATGCTCTAAAAAACTTATGTAGCGGTATGTGTGTTTATGTACGTACGGATACAATATTTTTTTGTTTCAAGACCTTACTTGGCATGCTCTAAAAATGGATGTAGTGGTGTGTGTGTTTATGTATGTACGAATACAATATTTTGTCCATGATTTTGAGAGCACGAATAAGCTGATTTGCATAATCTAAAAAATCGATTTTTACTAATAGGAAGATGTGCTAATTAGTGTTATGCAAAAATGTGTAATAAATGGTGGAGTAAAGAAATGCTGGATGTATTATTTTTAATATATATATATTTATTGAGATGTTTAGGCTTCGAAGGTTGATGAAGAAGAGAGCGAAACATTTCTTATACAATTTGCACATCGGCATATACAGACTAAAGGTGACACGTATATGCTAGCAACCTATCAGCCATAACGCTCGTTGTTGACAGTTCACAACGAGCGCGCGAAACTTAAATTATAAATTTGAATGACAGTTTTGTCCATGCTCCCGCGCGATGCAAAAGCATCACAAACTATAACAAAAATACAACAATGATAAATATTTACAACTGATTATTTCTTAAGATCTTATATCTAACCTAATTAAAACACAATCATCTTAATGCTAACAAAACAAAACTTGCAATATGATTAGTGGACTGTATAATGATATAATAAATGCATGATGATTAGCTGTTTTTAATACAAATGGTTGTCTCAGTCTATAATAAAAACATATTCCTAACTTAATATTATTTCAAGGTAAAACATTTATATAAAATTGATAACATATTTTAATTATTTATTATACTTTAACAATAATTTAAAAACTTTAATAATAAATGTTGATAAGAAATACTAAATTATAACAGATTATAAAATGTATAGGCTAATGACAAGGTATAGGGACGATTTTAGTAAATGAGCGGGTATAAACACCACTACTAGTCTTAACTTGAACTACTCTAACCGATACGGCCAATTGGCCAATGTAATGGAGGTGCATTGTCCTCTTTCAATAAAACTATTGTATTTAATTCAATATTTGGTCGTTCTTTTGACCACTTTTGTCTTTTTTGTAGGTCTGACAAATATTGTTTCGACCATAAAGACCAGAACTTATCTCTGCTTTCATCTCTGCTATTTGCTTAAACAATTTAGTTGCCTTGACATTTACAATATCGTTATATGGTTCTGGAAAAGATGTTAAGGCGTTACCAATCAAAAAATGACCGAGGCTAATATAAGATATGTCGGAGCTATCATCTGTGAGGGTAAGAAGTGGTCTTGAATTAAGTACTGCTTCGATCTGTAGCAATACTGTCATGTACTCTTCAAACGTGAGACAGTGCGACCCGATAACCCTACGAATGTAATGCTTCATCACTTTCATAGATCCCTCCCATAAACCTCCAAAATGGGGTGCATGAGAGGGTATGAATTGCCACGTTATTCCCAACCGAGCAGACGACGAAATGATCTCTTGTTTGGACATCTCAGATTGAAACAATGTGGCTAGTTGCCGTAACTCATTTTTGGCACCAACAAAGTTTCTCCCATTGTCACTATGGATCACGTAGCAACAACCGCGTCGTGCAATAAAGAGTCGCAAAGCTGACATGAAGGCTTCTGTAGAAAGACTCGTCACCAACTCAATATGAATTGCCTTAGTGGCTATACAAACCAACAAACAAATATATGCCTTAATGCGCGGAGCCATTATTAATCTATTAGATCTTAATTCAATTGGATCTGCGAAATCAACACCTACCACTTGAAAAGGTCGATAGGCAGTGACCCTATCCTTAGGCAAGCTTCCCATTAATTGTTCAGTACTGGCTGCTCTGAATCTAGCGCATTTCACACACCTATGAATGATTCGTTTTATTGCGTTTCGTCCGCCAGTAGGCCAATACCCCAGTCTCATGTTCGCCAATGTTGTTATTGTGTCAGCATGCAATAACCTCTCATGTTCCGAGCGAGTCAGAAGGTCAGTCACTAAATGGTTTTTGGGCAACATAATGAGATGTTTTTGGTCATAACTTACGTCTGCGTTTTCCAACCTTCCACCTACTCTGAGCAAGCCTTCGGCATCCACAAAAGGATTTAATGACTTCAGATTTTTGGCCACCGAATCCAATAAGCAACCACCCTTACTGCTTTATTGAAAGTAGAACATTTTTCTAAAACTTACTTCAAATGCTCATTATAAAAAGTAACAGTCGTTGCTGTTAATACTCGGCGCTCTGGAATCGCTTCTGTGCCAGTCTCAACAAACCTCTGAGGCCAAATAGTGGGATCCTGCAACAACCAAGCTGGCCCATGCCACCAGAGATCATAACCAATTAATTCTGATGGTGCTTTTACACCTCTAGATACTATATCGGCCGCATTATCTTTGCTGCAGACATGTGTCCACACTGTGCCTGGCGTGTGATCTAAAATTTCCGCAACCCTATTGCTTACAAGCATTTTCAATAGGGAAGGATCCGTCTTCAACCAGGCAAGAACAATAGTTGAGTCACACCACAAGAAGGTCTCAGAGATTTTAATATCCGATATTGTTATTATCTGCTTATAAAGCTTTGCTAATAACAAAGCCGCAGATAACTCCAACCTTGGCAGTGTGACATTTTTCAATGGTGCTACTTTTGATTAAGAGCACAGTAAATGCGATGACACCGTTCCATCTGCATATCTTGCTCGAAAATATATACATGCCTGATATGCAAGCAACGAAGCATCTGAAAACTCATGGCATTGTATATCCACAGAAACCGAATGGAACACACAACGCAGAATAGTCAGGTCATCAAGATCCGACAAATGAATTTCAAATCCTAATCTAACCTAACTTGCAGTTCTCGCGACACTAGCCCTCCTACTATTGAGAAATAGTAGTAAAGAGCTACACTAGCCTCCACACTATTAGGGACCCTAATGTGTGGAGGGAATCAGGCTACCAGGTATATAACGAAAGCAGCTACCATTCTCGACCTATTTTATCCTCTACGGGTCGAGCAGCCAACACATGGAAAAACTAGGGAATCTAACCGAAGAATACTCAAGAGGATTTTGTAAATTATTATATTTTTTTTGTAATAAACTTTATTTTTCATTTATAATTGTAGTGTCTCGATTTTTATATGTGGGACCACTCCACATAATTGGTGACCCCGACGCTGAATTGGACCACATAGCGTGGGAGCTGAACTACCATAGAGGACTATCCGCACAGAGGACAAAAAAAAACAAATAATGAATGAAGACATGCAGGATAAAGGGGAACTGGATCAATTGTTGAATGAGAAACCAACATTGTGGTTCACAATAGTCGATGCAATATTTTCTCGATGCCGCATCATCAATGACCTGGATAAATATGAATATGTAATAGCTCACTTAGAATGCAAATGCTTACTCCAGATAGAAGACGTAATAAATTCTCCGCCTGCAGAGAATAAATACATAAAACTAAAGAAGGAATTAATCAAAAGGCTATCAATTTCCGAACGGCAAAGGATAAGACAATTACTTTTGCAAGAAGAACTTGGTGATCGAAGTCCTTCTGAGTACCTACGTCACCTCCGTTTATTGGTCGGAACAACTACAGTCGACAATTCACTCCTACGAGAAAACTGGATTCAATGACTACCGGTCCAGACTCAACAAATATTGCAAACCCAGATCAATAGAGACCTAGAAGAACTTGCATCGCTCGCCGACAAAATATGTGAGATTGCACAACCGCCAGTAGTCGCAGCAACTAGTAACAACCAACAGCAAGACATCATACAAAAACTAATTGATAAAAATGATCAACTAACACAGCGTGTGGAAGATCTTACAGAGCAATTAGCCAAGTTCACCTATCATAGCAGACTCTACCTATCAGCAAATAGAAACCGTGGCCCATTTCGACAAGACAGGTCTAACCACTTCCTCAGGCCGAGAAGTACTTCTAGATCGCGCAACCGAAATACATTCTGTTGGTACCACGCCAAATTTGGAAAGAAGGCAAGAAAATGCGAGAGTCATTGTTTGTTCAGAGAGGAAAACTCCAACGGCAAGGAGTGATGGTGACCTATCCTTCCTTTTCATCAAGCCGTCGCCTCTTCATAAGTGATCGCAGAACTAAGGTTAGATTTTGGACTAAGAAGAAATCGATATAAAGAATTTTCGTCTACATGACTACCTGACATCACTGTCATCTCCAGGATGTGTCGCATTTTCTCGGATACAAAGTGTCAGGTCTATATTTGGAGATAGTGCATACAATAAATTATTAGCTGATTGTCCATTCATCACCAGACCATCAGGCTTGTGTCAAGAAAGCAAACACAAAACATTTCATTGTATTAGAACCACTCCAGGACCTCCAGTTTCCTCTAGACCACGGCGCCTCAAGCCAGAATCACTTCGCGTAGCCAAAGAAGAATTTAAGAATATGGTAGAATTAGGCATTGCAAAACCCTCCGATAGTTCTTGGTCTTCACCTCTACATCTGACACAGAAAAAGGATTCGACGTGGCGTCCATGCGGAGATTATCGACTGCTCAACTCGCGCACTATTCCAGACAAATATCCTGTTCTACGCCCATAATTTAGCTGGATGTACTATATTTTCAGTGATCGACTTAGTGAAAGCCTTTCAACAGATTCCAGTCCATCCTGATGATATTGCAAAAACTGCAATAATAACACCATTTGGGCTGTTTGAGTTCCCGTATATGACTTTTGGCCTTAGGAATGCATCACAAACATTTCAGCGATTCATAGATGAGGTTACACAAGGTCTGGAGTTTTGTTACACATACCTAGATGATATTCTTATATCATCTACATTGCTAGAAGAACATCAAGATCATCTCCGCCAATTATTTCAACGTTTGAAAGACCACGGCGTTGTTATAAACTCAGCGAAATGCGTATTAGGTGCACCCAAAGTTACATTTCTTGATTATGAAATTTCTAAAGATGGAACTTTGCCACCACAAGACCGTATCAACGATCTCCAAGAATATCATCTACCGGCAACTTACTCAAAGCTGCGATGCTTCATAGGAATGATTAATTATTATCGAAGGTTTATTCCTCACATAGCTGAATTTCTTGCTCCGCTACACAAGCTGCTCTCAGGATCTACCAAGTCTGGATCACAACCAATTTCTTGGACCCCACAGCTTCAAAATAACTTCAAGACTTCTAAGAAAGAATTGGCTGAAGCAACATTACTAGCACACCCTGTTCCAAATGCTCAAATAGCATTATTTAGCGATGTATCCAACCATTCTATCGGTGCAGTATTACAGCAGTACATCAATGGCACTTGGCAACCTTTGGGCTTCTTTTCAAAAAAACTATCTAAGAAACAACAACTATGGCCAGCATATTATCGAGAACTTTTGGCTGGATACGAAGCAGTGCAACATTTTCGAAGCTTACTGGAAGGCAGACATTTCATTTGGTTTACTGACCACAAACCTTTAATTCACGCCTTTTCACAACGAAAATACAGCCGACGCCTTCTCAAGAGCAGAAGCCATAACATCGCCTTTGGATCACTCCGTTATTGCTAAATCGCAAAACGAAGATGAAGAACTTGTAACGCTCTTAAAATCAGATACTGCTCTCAACCTGAAACGCATCGCTATTCCAGGAACCAAAGAACCATTATATTGCGACATATCTCAAGATCGATTACGTCCTCATGTTCCTGCTGACCATAGACGACACATTTTATTACTCTGCACAATCTATCTCATCCAGGTATAAAAACCACAACTAAACTCATCACGAATAGATTTGTTATGCCTGGCATTCGCAAGGATTGTAAAACCGGGGCTCGAAGCTGCATCTCATGTCAACGCTCCAAAATTGGTCGGCATATAGTCACACCACTTGGAGAGTTCAAAGTGCCACCCACCAGATTTTTGCATGTTCACATTGACATTTTAGGACCACTTCCACAATCAAAAGGCTTCAAATACCTATTCATCGTTATAGACCGTTACACACGTTGGCTTGAAGTTTTTCCTCTATCAGATATTACCGCAGAAAGTGTAACCTGGGCTTTCTTGTATTTTTGGATTTCACGCTTTGGTGTTTCATCTCAAGTAACAAGCGACTAAAGGCGGCAATTCTGTTCAGCTGTTTTTCAAGACGTAACCAAACTACTAGGAATTTCCCACACTCCTACTGCAGCATATCACCCGCAATCGAATGGATTGATTGAAAATGCTCATAAGCCACTGAAAACAACCGTCATGTGCCATGCAGACCCGTCATGGATGGATACTCTACCAGTTATTTTATTAGGAATTCGAGCTTCTGTTAAAGAAGACATTAAAAGCAGCAGCGCCGAATTAGTATACGAAGAACCGCTTCGTCAACCTGGCGAATTTTTAATCAGCACACGCAAGGATATACCAACAAGCGAGTTCTTGAGAGACCTGCATCGATATTTCGAAACGATACATCCAACTCCTACATCTGCACGTGGATCGAAAAAGACTTTTGTACATAAAGAATTAAGTAATGCAAAATTTGTATTCCTTGGGGAAGACGCTCTGCGACCTGCGATTTTTTGTCCATACAGAGGTCCGTATGAAGTCATAGATCGAAACTCCAAAACATTGAAAACTAAAATTGGAGAAAGCAATGTAAGAGTATCCACGAATCGTGTCAAGCCCGCTTTCACCGCAGAAGACGACCAAAGTACAAGTCCAACTCCATCCAGCGCTACAGAACATACCTCCACTCAATATAGAACACGGTTTGGACGGGTAGTTCGTCCTCGCATCCAATGAAATTAACACAATTTTATTGACTCGCCAGGGGGGTATTGCAGCGACACTAGCCCTCCTACTATTGAGAAATAGTAGTAAAGAGCTACACTAGCTTCCACACTTTTAGGGACCCTAATGTGTGGAAGGGGTCAGGCTACCAGGTATATAACGAAAGCAGCTACCATTCTCGACTTCTTTTATCCTCTACGGGTCGAGCAGCCAACACATGGAAAAACTAGGGAATCCAACCGAAGAATACTCAAGCGGATTTTGTAAATTATTATATTTATTTTGTAATAAACTTTATTTTTCATTTATAATTGTAGTGTCTTGATTTTTATTTGTGGGACCACTCCACAGTCCCATTCAAAATTATGCCTCCGCAACTCCTGCATAATTAATTTAGATGTAACGGTAACCGGAGATATGAGCCCAATTGGATCATAGATCTGTGCTATAGTTGATAGCACAGACCGCTTGGTGTCAACAACCTGCTGGCTTCCGCAACCGAAACCTTAATTTTTGAGATCTTAAAACTATCTTGTAAAGGATTCCATGCGAGGCCAAGGGTTTTGAATGTATCTCCTTCTGAAAACAAGGCTACAGCTGAGCTTCTATTCTTTTCAGGAATTGCTTGCAACACCCTTCTACAATTGCTCGACCACTTGTGCAACGAGAAACCAGCTTCATCTAATAAGCTGTCAATCTCCCCTTGTATTCTAATAAGATCGTCCGAAGTGTTCGTTCCTGTGTTAATGTCATCGACATAACAATCCCTATCTAAAACTTGTGCAGCCCTTGAATATGTTGTCAAATTGCTTTGAGCAAGCATCTTCAAACACCGCACAGCCAAGTAAGGAGCGCATGCCGTGCCATATATCACAGTTGTGAGCCTAAAAAATTTCAAAATCTCCTGGGGATTATCTCTCCATATTATTAACTGATACCTTTGATTCTCGTTTCGAACCTTAATCTGACGGTACATTTTGACAATGTCCGCCACAAAAACAAACTGCTGGCACCGAAACCTAACTAAAATGGAAAAAAGGTCTTGCTGTAATTTTGGTCCAGTGTGTAAGATATTATTCAGCGAGATACCTGTAGATGACTTTGCTAAAGCATCAAACACAACTCGTATCTTACTGAAATTTCCATTTTTCACCACTGGATGGTGAAGCAGAAAATAATAATCATTCCTGACAGCTTCCTCCGGAGTTAACACAATTTGTTCAGCATGACCTAAATCAATATACTCTCTTACAAATTTGGAATATCCCTAGCAAACCGCCTCTCTAAATTCAAGGATCTATGTTTTGCAGTAACAAATGATGATCCAAGCTTTTTTTTAGCTATTTAGATAATATTTTCAACGGTTTATTTCGAATATAAAGTTTTTACATTAACTAGAAATTAATCAATCCTATTTTCAATTAATACCTTTTGTACAAACTTATAATTGAAATTAGCAAGTCAGATTTTCTGTTCGGCAAGTTAATACAATAATAATATTTTATATTGAATAATCTCTTTAAAGTTATATAATATATATTATTTGCAGGGGCTATTTGTTAAAAATAGTTGGTGCAATACTTTGTTTTGATTAAATTGTTAAAATCCTTTCAAGTATCTTTTATGATAATGTTTATTTATTAACTTCGACCCTTTCGACCAAGTCTTCCACAAACGGCAAGGCTACCTCAAATTGGCCATTTTCAAGGCGTGTAACATTGGCCATAAAATGATCTTCACATAGCTTATCTGAACCCGTCATAGCATTGTCTGAAGAAATTTCTTCTAACTGCCAAAACTTCGTCAAACTATTGTGAAGATCCTCATTAGAAATAAGACCAACGTGTACATTACCTTGAAGTTCTACATTAAAGACACAAGAAATCAACCATCCAAAAGAGCTTTTCCTTAAAATAGGGTGATGATTTCCTAGCCTAATACATCCTTGCTGCAAAACATCAAAATATAATTCTACTTCTATTAGCATATCCACGTTGCCAGGCATATTAAATGACGGATCTGCCAACGTGATATTGTCAGGAATCTTCCAGCCTTGATAATCTATAAATACAGATGGTAATGAATGCGTAATTCTATCCACAACCACACAATTAATGTTTCTAGAGAACGCACCTATCCTAGAATTGACAGTCAAATTTACTGCCTTATTGCACAAAAAGCTTTGTCCTTGCAAAACGCTCAGTCTATGTACCTCTGAATTAATGGAATATTTCAATTTCGCCAAAAGAGAATTAGTTATTAAATTTATCTGAGACCCACTGTCTAAAAGTGCTCTCACCGTATGTTGTGCTTCCTCCGCGTCAATGACAATAAGCAAAACAGTTGATAACAAGGTCTGTACGCCTGTGTTGCAACATAGCTTTGCATTTTCCACAGGTGTATCTAAATTTGCACTTAGCCATACTATGTCGAGATGCTAAACAAGAGATCATTTCGTCGTCTGCTCGGTTGGGGATAACGTGGCAATTCATACCCTCTTATGCACCCTATTTTGGAGGTTTATGGGAGCGATCTATAAAAGTGATGAGGCATCACATTCGTAGGGTTATCGGGTCGCACTGTCTCACGTTTGAAGAGTACATGACAGTATTGCTACAGATCGAAGCTGTACTTAATTCAAGACCACTTCTTACCCTCACAGATGATAGCTCCGATATATCTTATATTAGCTCCGGTCATTCGCGCGCTCGTTGTGAAATGTCAACAACGAGCGTTATTGCTGATAGGTTGGTAGCATATACGTGCCACCTTCAGCCTGTATATGCCGATGTGCAAATTGTATAAGAAATGTTTCGCTCTCTTCTTCATCAACCTTCGAAGCATAAACATCTCAATAAATATATATTAAAAATAATACATCCGGCTCAAAGGACCATTTATGGAGTTAAGAAATGCTGGATGTATTATTTTAAATATATATTTATTGAGATGTTTATGCTTCGAAGGTTGATGAAGAAGAGATCGAAACATTTCTTATACAATTTGCACATCGGCATATACAGGCTGAAGGTGGCACGTATATGCTACCAACCTATCAGCCATAACGCTCGTTGTTGACAGTTCACAACGAGCGCGCGAAACTTAAATTATAAATTTGAATGACAATTTTGTCCAAATGGCTATTTAGTTATTGATCAAAAAGGGCTTACAACTTGAATAAATCAAAAAACATTTCACTTGTATTGACGGAATTAAGAAATGATTAAATTTTTGATAAAGGTGATTCAATGGATTCTGAGATCCAAAAAGAAGTTAAGAAGCCATAGGGCGATAAAAATTTATTTTTAGACCTATGCACAGGGCCGGATTTAGAAATTTGGCGCCCTGGAGCACTGACAAAAATGCCGCCCCATCCCTGAATTTTTGCTTAAAATAGGTTTTATATATCATTTTTCTCAACTTAACATAACTATTTGATTGCAGAAAATTTATTACGCATTAGATACTATAAATAGTAGTGCTTGGCATTGTGCCTTAAGGCAAATTGCCGGAACTTCCCGTACCAAAAATTAAAATTGAAAAAAAAAAACTTTTTTAATTAAGAATTTTCTTTATATATATATATATATATATATATATATATATATATATATATATAGAACCAAAAACAAATATTCTATCACTATAGTTAACATAAGGTAGTCGAGTAATTAAAATTAGACCTTTTTATTGTCGAATCAAAGCACGTTTGCTGATAATATATATGCTAATTAGTTGTAAACACCTGAAACATTTTATAAGATATGTATAAAGAAATTATAAATTAACAACAATTAATATATAACTATTTATATTTTTATTACAAATTTTGAGGTTATGTTAAGAAACTATATTTCAAAACATGTTTTTTTTATTTATTTGTTGGTGATTATACTTATTGCTGATATTTAGAATACAAAAACCTCAAATACTCTATTTAAATACGTATAAACCAATATACATAAATACCTAAGTATATAAATAATTACATTCCCATTGCCAAGAAATAAATTTCTCCATCGTCTATTTGGATCGCTTGCTATTATTAAGAATTAATTTACTTGCCACTTCGTAATAATTTTCCGTGGTTATTAAAAAATTTCTATTATTCACGTAATAATTTTCCAAAAGTGGAGTAAAAAAATGCATATTAATATATTTGTATCAAAACAGAAACACCGAATGACAATTGACAATTGAAAGTAAATGTCATGGATAAAATTATTGATAGAATCATAGATTGAATAAACTAAATGGATATTTTATAAAAAAAATAATTTTGAATTAGAATGGAAAACGGAATAAAAAGTATCCTATGTGTTTCTCCCGGCTCTAAACTACCTACCTGCCAATTTTCATCTAAATCGGTTCAGCCGTTCGTGAGTTATAAGTGTTGCTACTTAAGCGATCCTCTTTTATATATATATAGGTATAGTAAAAATAAAAAATAAAAAAAGTAAATAGTACTTAAAATAAGTGAATCTTACTGTTAAATTGGAAGATATTAATAATCCATGGTATCAGGATATGGTTATGCACTACGCTATGTAATATAAACATTAAACTTGTAATTAGACAATATTTTCATAAAATACTAATTTATTTATTTATTTATTTAATTTACAAGCCGTCGGTATAATAATATTATAATAAGGCTTAAGTCAATACTTTTTAGGTTTAATATAATTTAATTAATTATTAGCTATTTTATTACTTATTTATTTATTATTTAATTTATTTACTATAAACTTATTTATATTTAGTTAATTTTAATTATTTTTAAATATAATTAGTTTGTTTGCTGCATGTATTTTTACAAATTTAATAAGTATTTTAATAAGCTTTACAATACTTTTACAATATAATTATTTTATTCAACAAATTTTAGGTTATTTTATGATAATTTAACAAATTTAAGTGTCTTTTATTAGTGTTATTATTATTATTAATAATAATATTATCATTATCATTTTTATTATTATTGTTAAGTGTTTTTACAATATAAGTTTTTT